TGCTGAACAGCAGTAGCACTGGGGAGGGGCAGCCCAGGGTGTCACCTACATTGGTGAAGAGCACACCTCAGTGACCTTGCCACCATCCCTCACTCCCCCTGGAGGCTGGGTCCAGCTCTGTCACTCAACCCAGCCACCTGTCACCAAGACCAGGTAAGTCCTACACATGCCATGCGAAATTGGGAGCTTCTCCCCGAGCCTGCTCCTCTTTAAGGCCTGCATGTGCCTCATGTGTCCTTGCCACCTTCCTCCTCTCCTACCCCCACCCCCCACCATCAGCCATGCCGAGGCCTACTTCCCAGCAGGGCCAAGACACCGCCCCCGCCCCCCCCTTGCCATGGTGCACGTCTGAGTATTTGTGCTGAGGCAAAAAGCCCTGGCTCAAATTTTCACCACTTCTATTTGAGCTACTGCAAGCTAATGTGCTTGCATGTGTGGTTGTGCTCTTAGAAGCTTCTATTGCAACAATGCTTTTTCTGCTGCTGTAGTATTTTTTTTTTTTTTATTTATCACCTCCAGTTCCCATTTTCAATTTTACACTAAAAAATGTTGTTCTCTTCCTAACCATAGTGTTCATGGCCTCTGTATCCAAGTATCATGCCCTTCTATTGCTGTCACCCTTTAATACTACATTGATATAAGGACATTGGTCACTATAGTTATCACCTTAACTTAAAAGGGGTGGCAGGTTTTAATCATCTCATATTTCTTTAAAAAAATTTAAACTTAGTAAAAAATGTCCAATAGAGGGATTTGACTCTCTTATTTATTTACAGAAAACATACAACTGGAACAAGCCTTTGCAAAAAGATCTAACTGGTATGGCTAGGAGAGTTATTTTTGAGGATAGTTTTGCCTCCAAACTACTTACATACTTAGGAATTTATATCATACCCAATATGAGTGCTTTTCAAGTTTCCCTACTCACTTTAATATTACCTGATTTCACCAATGAAGCTACACATACGTCTTCTTTCTGAACTTGACTGTGGGGGAATTAATACCAGCCAGGTTGATCAATCTTTGGAATTCTGATCAAGATCAATTGTCCACAAGACAATTATTGGGTGTTCCAGCAATGGGTAATGAGAAATAGGCTTATTGCCATTACACCATATGGTCTCCCAGTTATTCTCAAGCAAAATGGGACCCATGTCTCTTCCTCATGTAATTCAAGGCAGGAAAAGAATACTTAATTTCAGACCAAATGGAACTTTTGTTTCAAAATGACATTTCAGATTGCTTTGGGATTCAAGAGCCAGCTCAGACTATATAGTTGCCCTAAATCAAGTTTAATTTAAATGTTTACTTGTGAAGAGCAAATTCAGTTTCTACATAATTTTGTTGCACAAACATCAAGTATTTCCTACAGAAAGGTGTATTTTATTAGCAATATTTAAGAATTAACACTGAATATAATTTTCTTTTCTTAAATTTATCAGTCCAAATGAACAAAATTCATCCCAGAAATACAATCAGAGGCAAACTCCTTTAACTTGGAGAAAATTATCAGATTAGATAATTAGGCATGCAGGAGGTATACACATGTCAAGTCCATGGACAAATATTGTGGATACAGGCTTAGCTTTGTGTTCTAGAAAATAAACACGGAACAATAGAGTATTTCATTAATAATGCAAGTTATCAGCCCCCTACAAATCTGAACATGAGCCAAGTTCCATGATGTATGATTAGCTCTTCTTTCCTGACAAGAAACTAAGACACAAGCCCTCCTCTTATCTGACCCTTGTGAAGGAAAGAAAAAAAAAAAAAATCAGAACTGTGCAATAGATTCATTAGGATTTTGAGATATTCCAATGAAATCAAGAGGCTGGAGTGTGTTCCATTGCTCTTCAGTCCCAACAGTGAATTATATCGTTGTACCATTACACATTGAACGGCAATGTCATATCCTCAGGTACATTCATCATCCCAGATCACCACCAGTTTTCACAAAGAACCCACCAGGACTCCAGAACTAGAGCAGCATGTTGCCCAGTATTCTCTTTCCACTGCCTTCTCCCACCCTCAGCCCAAGATCAGAAAACAAATTGGGAACATTATGAAGAGACTGCAGTCTAACATCTCTCAATGATAGAGAGTTGATGGTTCTAATTTGTCCTACAATAATCTTCCTGAGTTAGTATTTGTCCACTGCTACTTTGTTATTGCACTGAAGCCATTTACTCTTTTCCTAGGCAGGTTTAAAGATAAATAGTTCAGGAAACATCAAAACTTCATCCCAAGCAATAACAACTGGACATTGTGGTGAAACACTGCTACAGTATCCTCCTCACCCTGGGTCATTTGAAAGCACTGGACTTCAGCCAATGGGGCTGTTCCTGGTGGGAACCTAGTTGTGTGATCACAAAAAGTTATTTAAGATCCCTTCTTCCTGGAAGAGGGAGCCATGTTGGAGAGCAGGGAGACTGCCACTTTGGAAAGGTATGGAGAAAGCCATTTTGGAGAACATGTGAGTAACTGACCAGTCAAAGAGATGGGGATCCCTCTGGAAACTCAGTGACCCACCATTAACTGCCTGCCTCCAGAGGAAAGCTCAATCAGCCTCTAGATGATATTTGTGAGCAACTTACCTGAAACCTACCTAGATATATAAGTTTACTGTGATATAGATGCATGCTCAACAGCTACTTAGCCACACTGTTTGCTTGTTCTTTGATTCTTCTCTAACCTATACCATTCTCCAAGCCTTTCCTCTTTAACCAATAAAGTTCTCCACTGTACATAGCATGGTGGCCTGGCTGGGAGAGGGACCAGTTATGCCTTGGTGCCCCCTTGGCCCAGCTGACTAAGGGAGGCTATTTTTTGTGCTTCAGGCTAAAGGAAGCACCCCAAGTTTTTTTCGTGGGGTTAAGCACCCTCAAGGTCTAGAAGGCCTGTGTACCCCAGGGGGCACAGGGCTAAAAACAGAGCAGATCCCCTGGGTGATGGTGGTACCCCCAGGCTTGTGGGTGTTCTCTAGGAAGGGGGTTGGCCAGACAAGAGGTGGCCTCAGGGAGGCATTCAGATCTTGGTAGGTGGTTGGATGCAGTTAGGTGGGTGGCTTAGTGCAGGAGTACCCTTGTAACAGGGGTCTTCTCAGGGCCGATTTGCCAAAGCCCCACCCACCTGTTTTCTGGGCCAACCACCCACCTTCTTCCTGCCATGCCTTATTGTTAATTAATTGAAGATCTTAACTAGGTAGGAGGCTGCCCATTTCTTGCCCTGATGCCAGGGGACATTATCTGCGGCTCTGTACCTTCCCTCATGTCTCACAGATGGCATCCAGCTGTTACTCTCACCAGCCCCACACTGGGCCCCAGAATCCTCCTATCAGGACCCCTCCAATCAGGCGACCTACCCCACCTTCATTCAAACTACCTAGCTCCCTGAAATTATTTTCTCCTCTTGGGTGTGGTCCCCCCAGAACCTTTGGTCATACAGGCCCTGGCCTCATCTCCAAGGCCAGTTGGAAAATCCAGGCCCTCCTAGCTCTGGGCATCCCTTGCAGTGGGGCCCTGGCTCTTTTGGCCATCCTGGTCCTAAGCCCTAGTACTCTGTCAGGCCTCTGAGCCTCTAACCCCACTCTCACTCCTGGGGTCTGCCCTCAGGACCCTATCAGCAGGTGACCCACCTGGTTGCGGGAGCTGGGGGTAAGGCACCCCAACCCACCTTTTACCAGGATGGTAACTGGCCTGGGGGTTCCCACACCACTGAGAGCCCACCAGGCCACCCACTCCTGGCAGGGTACAGTTTTAGGTCATTCTCAGGACCAAGAGCCTCCTAACCATCCCCTACAGCTCCTCCCTTACCTCCAGGGTGTTCCAAGAAGCCTTACAGCCAGGCAACATTGCTGCCTGTCCTGACAGCAGGAAACTGAACTTTTTATATAGGCAGCCAAGGATCTAAAATGGCTGCCGCAATCAAGCACCTGCTGGCTGTTTGGCTCTGATTTTAAAGTGGCAGGCAGAAACAGTGCCCTGCCACAACCCCCTACTGGCCCACCACGGATATACTTAGATACTTAAGGTTTTTCTTACTCCACATGGCATTGTTTACAAATGGTCGGCCTAACTTGTGAATGATGTAAAGAAAAGCCCTGCAATCTCTACAAAACAAATTAAGGGAAAAAGCTCTCTATTCTTGCTCAAATGTAAAGTCTTACTCCAATCAGGTCCTCACTAGGCACATCTACATGAGACTTTTACAGCGCATTTGTTTAATTAGCTTTACAATAAAATGTCAGCATCTACAAGTATGGCCCTAATAGGCTGCAGTAAATGAAAAAATGTCACTGTAGGATAGTACTGCCCAATACAAATACTGTCCTACAGTGGCATTATTTAGCGCACCACAACACATGTAGATGCTCATGGGGCTGGCACTTGTAGATGCTCATTGGGCACAAGGGTACTTCAGTGAGTGGGCTGTCTGCCAGCTAGCCCTCACTGAAGCACCTCCGTGCCACAGCTAGCCCCTCTACATCATCTTGACCTGGGGCCAGCTGGGGCTGCTCGACACAATTCTAACAATTGAAATAGTTATGCCATACATATTATTACAGTTGTATGGTCTAGTATCTTGTGTTCAAGCAATGTTAGATATGTCCATTCTGTTCCATCAGAAAGAGGGTCACAGATTCTGTCATGAGAGATACAGACTTCTTGCTTTTAGCTTTGTTCTTTCATAAACTATTTGACCGTAAACCTGGCAGTGACTGAGGGTGGAGAATTCCACATTGTGCTTTACAAACCAGAATATGTGGGCAAAAAATACTATATTCAGGAAGAAAAGGAGACAATATTTTTATGGCAGTGTTTTAATTGAACTGATATTGAAGATGTTAGCAAGAGTCTTCCAAAAGAATTGGAATAGGGAGCAGAGTATAGGAAAGATGGTCAAAGATGCAAAGTAAACACATTTTATCAGGCAGCTTTGCAGTTCATCATATGGCTGTAACTGTCACTTACATTGCACTAGCCTATACATTATGCTTGTATTAGAAAAGAAAGAATGGCTCTTACCTTTGTCTAAGCATTGCTCAAGGAACCAAGGTTTGCATTAAGTAGATATATTTTATTCTTTTTCTTTCTTTATCTGTGTATTCTTCTTTCAAATGGTACAATATAAGATTCAGACAGCCATGGAGAAAGCTCTCATAAACATACACAGACTAAAGATGTAGTTTCCCTGGCAACAGAAAGCTCTCAGAACAACTCATTTCTTCAGGTTGCAATTAAGTTTATGAGCCTCCACATCTGCTTGTATGGAGAATGAGACACCTGGGATTATGGGTTTTTTTCAGAGCAATGAGGAAGAAATTAGAGAACAATAGACTGATTTTTAGGCTCTCCTACCTATTTTACTAGGAGCACAGGAACATTGAACTACCAAAAATGTTGACTTTCTTGTCTCTACTAAGGCAGGCTTGGGAGTGGAGGGGAGCATGATTTGCCTTGTAGATTATAACCAAGCTCTTTCCTCTCTAGGAAAGAACATAAACCAGAGAAGGGAGAGAGTTCTGTAAAATGGTGCCTGGGAGTGAACAATGCAGCAGAGCAGCTTCCTATCTTTAAGATCTACAGGTGGAGAAAACTCATTTCCTGTGCAATTTAAATATATTCTCTACACACGTAAAATATGTTTTAGTTTGGTAATTGGAATGGAAGAATTTACAGGGGTAGGATATGTTTTTTTAATGTCTTATTTGTAAATAATCTGCACCTCCCTGGTTCTTGCATGCCTTCCCACTGCAGATTACTTCATCTGGCTGCAATCCCTCCACCCATCTCATTCAGCTCAACATTTTCAGGCCAACTGCAGTAGCCAAACTGCTATTAGCATGTCTGAAAAATGGGTGTGTTTCCCCAATTGTTCACAGCTCCTGAGTCCACAGTGAGCATAGACTGAAAAAGTAAAAACCAAGAGCAGTTCATCCACTTGAGTCGCACAGGCTTACAGCAGTTCAACCCAATTCATGCCTGCAATGAGTATAAACTGAATGAATAATGTAATGTAATGGTAATTTTCCCCATGAAAAGTCTAGGGAATTCCATATTCCAGATTTTACATTCATGGGCAAGAAACTCCTGTGTCAGTTTTTGGATGAAAAATTATCTCTTATGAGATAATTGTTGTTAAGGTATGTGGATTTTTGGAGAACATTGGACCTGCAGCTGGAACAAGGCTTTAATCTGCCTCAGCAAAGCTGCTGACCTCAAGACGGAATGATATATATTAAAAGTAACTTTGTGAATGCTTAGGCAAATAGGTTTTAACCATATAATAGTATTTTTGTGAGATATATATAGCTTTTATATCTAAGATTTTGTTTATGAGTGCTTATGTTAGGTAACCATTTTAATTGTGTTAACCATTTTTCTGGAAAAAAGCAGCAATTAATATGCAGTTTTAATATGCAGTTTTCTATCCTATAATTTAGAATTACTAGACCCCGACTCCATGCGGCGTCCAGCAACTAGGGAGACAACAGTCCAATTGCTCATGGATCCTGATACTCATTAGCCAGAGTAGAGCAGGGAGCAAACACCAGCACACATTGCTCGCAACAGCTTTATTCAGAAAGGAGACAGCTTCGGGCGAGCTCCCTCACAGGCGCACAGTCTGTGAAACCAGGGAAGCAGCACTGAACAAAAGTTTTTTTCCCCCACATTTATACACTTTGGTTTATGCTCATTGCCATTCATTCTACCCTCGCCCCTCCTATGTTCCACCCATTTCTCTTCCCATCTAAAGCTCCACCTCTGTTTACTGTTCATTTCATTAACATGGAATTGCCTATGCATTTCATTCATTTACATGCCTTTTTGCTATAAGCGCATGTCTAAGGCCATGGACCTTCTTCCTATGGTCAATGGGTGGGCTCTGGAGGTTTCTTTACCAATCACCATTCACCCTTTTGCATATGTTTATCTTTAAACTAGCCTTGCTGGGGGAGGGGGCCACAGGAAGACATGGAGACACCACCCGAGCAAGACAGGTGACACATGCAAGGAGTGCCCAGGTAAGACACAGGGGTCCAGATAGTCTTCCTAATCAGGGGGTGGCACGCGCAGCTATGCAAGGCCTTAAATGCCTATATACCAATGCTTGTAGTATGGGGAACAAACAGGAGGAACTTGCCCTCAGAATAGCCAGTTCAAACCCAGACATAGTAGGGATTACAGAAACATGGTGGGATTCATCCCACGACCAGGCAGTTAGCATTAGGGGCTATAGGCTCTACAAGCGGGATAGAGAAGGAAGGAAGGCGGGGGGGGCGCTCTATGTCTAAGAGCAAGACACATCCTCTGCCAGCAAAATGGGGTCGGAGGAGGGACAAGCTGAAGTGCTCTGGGTCAAGATACAAGGGGGTCATGGGGAGAGGGATTTAACGGTGGGGGTCTACTACAGACCCCCCAACCAAGGGGAGGAACTGGACCGGGAATTTTTGGGCCAGCTTGCAGAGGCACTTAAGGCAAGGTATGTAGTTGTCATGGGTGATCTAAATTACCTGGACACCTGCTGGGAGAAGCAGTCAGCCAGGTCGGACCATTCCAGGAGGTTCCTGGACAAGATACAGGACCTCCACTTAACCCAGGAGGTGCACAGTCCCACCAGAGGAAATGCCCTGTTGGACCTGGTCCTGGCCACAGGCGATGATCTGGTAAGGGGGCTCCAGGTCCTTGACCACCTGGGTGATAGCGATCATTGCTTGCTGGAATTCATCATCCAGCACAGGGTGACAAGGGCCTGCAGCAAGGCGGTAGCCCTAGACTTCAA